CCCGGGGTGAGGCAGCGGGAACCGGCCCCAGGGAGGAGCCGCAGCTCGGGGCGGGAGGCGCGAGGGGGCGGGGCCACAGGGTCGGCGACCCGCTCACCCGGAAGCAGTTGTGGCCCAGCGGGCCCGGGAGCGTCGCGGGCTCCGGACGGGCCTGGAGCCCGAGAAGACCGGTGTGCCTCGCTTTATTGCGCCCTTCCGCTATTGCGTTGGGCCGATATTGCGCTTTGTCCAAAGGGAGGGTTTGTGGCATCCGTGCACCACGCACGACTGGCGGCGCCTTTTTTCCAACATGAAGGTTTGCAACCACCCTGCCTGGAGCAAGTCTATGGACAGCATTTTTCCGACAGTATGTGCTTACTTCGTGTCTCTGTCACATTTTGGCAAATTCTGGCAGTGTTTTAAGCTTCGTTCTTGTTATATCCGTTATGCTGATCTGTGATCAGGAATCTCTGATGTAACTGTTTGGGGCCGCCACGGATCGTGCCTGTATAAGATAAGCGATAAATACCTGTATTCGGACTGCACCACCGACCCGCAGACCCCATCTCTCGCCCTCTCCTAAGGTTGTCTATTCACCAATATTAGGCCTGTTTACCTAGTTAGGCCAATTAATAACCCTGCAATGGCCTCCAAGTGTTCGAGGAAGAGTCGCATATCTCTCACTTTAAATCAAAAGCTGGAAATGATTAAGCTTAGTGAGGAAGGCCTGTCAAAAGCCGAGATAGGCCGAAAGCTAGGCCTTCTGCGCCAAACGGTGAGCCAAGTCGTGAATGCCAAGGAAAAGTTCCTGAAGGAAATTGAAAGTGCTACGCCAGTGAACACTCGAACGATCAGAAAGCAAAACAGCTTGATTGCTGATATGGAGAAAATTTTAGTGGTCTGGATAGAAGATCAAACAAACCACAACATTCCCTTAAGCCAAAACCTAATCCAGAGCAAGGCCCTGACTCTCTTCAATTCTATGAAGGCCGTGAGAGGTAAAGAAGCTGCGGAAGAAAAGTTTGAAGCTAGTAGAGGTTGGTTTGTGAGATTTAAGGAAAGGAGCCACCTCCATAAGATCAAAGTGCAAGTTGAAGCTGAGAGTGCCGATGTAGAAGCAGCAGCCAGCTATCCAGAAGACCTAGCCAAGATAATTGATGAAGGTGGCTACACTAAACAACAGATTTTCAATGTAGACGAAACAGCCTTATATTGGAAGAAGATGCCACCCAGGACTTTCATAGCTAGAGAAGAGAAGTCAATGTCTGGCTTCAAAGCTTCAAAGGACAGGCTGACTCTCTTGTTGGGGGCTAATGCTGCTGGTGACTTTAAGTTGAAGCCAATGCTCATTTACCATTCTGAAAATCCTAGGGCTCTTAAGAATTATGCTAAGTCTACTTTGCCTGTGCTTTATAAGTGGAACAACAAAGCTTGGATGACAGCACATCTGTTTACAACATGGTTTACTGAATATTTTAAGCCCACTGTGGAGACCTACTGCTCAGAAAAAAGGATTCCTTTCAAAATATTACTGCTCATTGACAATGCACCTGGTCACCCAAGAGCTCTGATGGAGATGTACAATGAGATTAATGTTGTTTTCATGCCTGCTGATATAACGTCCATTCTGCAGCCAATGAGTCAAGGAGTAATTTGGACTTTCAAGTCTTATTATTTAAGAAATATATTCCGTAAGGCTATAGCTGCCATATGTAGCAATTCCTCTGATGAATCTGGGCAAAGTAAAATGAAATCCTTCTGGAAAGGATTCACCATTCTAGATGCCATTAAGAACATTCGTGATTCGTGGGAGGAGGTCCAAATGTCAACATTAACAGGAGTTTGGAAGAAGTTAATCCCAACCCTCATGGATGACGTTGAAGGATTCAGAACTTCAATGGAAGAAGTAACTGCAGATGTGGTAGAAATAGCAAGAGAACTAGAATTAGAAGTGGAGCCTGAAGATGTGACTGAGTTGCTGGAATCTCATGATAAAACGTTAACAGATGAGGAGTTGCTTCTTATGGATGAACAAAGGAAATGGCTTCTTGAGATGGGCTCTACTGGTGAAGATGCTGTGAACGTTGTTGAAATGGCAACAAAGGATTTAGAATATTACATAAGCTTAGTTGATAAAGCAGCGGCAGGGTTTGAGAGGATTGACACCAATTTTGAACGAAGCTCTGCCGTGGGTAAAATGCTATCAAACAGCATCACATGCTACAGAGAAATCTTTCGTGAAAGAAAGAATCCGTCAATGTGGCAAACTTCACTGTTGTCTTACTTTACAAAGTTGCCACAGCCACCCCATCCTTCAGCAAAGACCACCTTGACCCATCATCAGCCATCAACATCACAGCAAGACCCTCCTCCACCAGCAAAAAGACAAAGACTAGCTGCAGACTCAGATGATAGTTAATGTGTTTTTGCAATAAAACATTTTTGTAATTAAGGTATGTACATTTGTTTTGATTTTGTGTATGACATGATGTAATTGCACACTTGATCACTTATAGTATAGTGTAACTATCACATTTATATGTAGGAAACCAAAATATTTACGTAACTTAACGGTTTTGAATTTATTACAATGGGCTAGACCCAAATCTGCAGTTATCTCCAGTAATCTCCGAGGTATGCCTGTCCCTCAGCAGGCTGGGTACCAAATTGAGCAAGAGAATCCCAAGAGTCTCGGGGACTGGAAGAAGGGTGGTGGGGTAAGACTTATCAGTTTGGCTGAGGCCTGGGCTGCCAGTGGGGCAGAAGTCCCAGGCAGTCTAATGGGTAGCTCCTCTGGGTCTACAGTTTCCAGACCCACCAACTTATGGGAGCCTACGCCCTCCCTCAGAATTGAACCATCCGTGTAAATAGAAATGATTGCCCACTCAAGGCTGTACCTGCTTTGTTCACCTTTAAACTGCCCAGCCTGGTGGACCGGTAAGTGTGCCAGAGTGATAGTCTAACTGTAGGAAATGGATGTATAAAGGTAGGTGGGTAAGTGGTTGAAATGCTAAAAGTCATTTCCAAAATGAAGATACAAAATTTAAAAATTATTTCCTGAGAAGAACACTTGGCGGTGGAATTCTGTCTGAAATCTAAAAGACCCAATGAGCCATCAGTTCATTCTAGAAATATCCATTTAGACCCACCAAAAGGCCCCTGTTCTTGGGGAACCAACCTTCTAGTAGGGAGATGGATTTAAACAAGATAATAAGAGATTTTGGTAAGGCTCTGCAGGGAAACACTGGGTAAAGAGAATGTGGGTGAAGCCTCTGGATGGATGGGATAAAGAAGAACTCTGGCAGTGCCATTTGAGCAGCCTTCTGACAAAAAATGCAGGAAGTAGAGTACATTTAGACACATTGTTACATACAGGACTGTAGGTACCAGAACACCCTGAATAAACCCACAAATTCCGTTGTATGCTTGCCTCTAAAGCAGTGGTTCTCAACCTTTCTAATACCACAACACTTTAATACGGTTCCTCTGCTGTGGTGACCCCCAACCATAAAATTATTTTCATTGCTACTTAATAACTGTCATTTTGCTACTATGAATTGGGCGACCCCTGTGAATGGGCCATTCGACCCCCCAAAGGTGTCGCAACCCACAGATTGAGAACTGCTGCTCTAAAGCCTTCTAAGAGCTGTTCCTATGCAGTCCCCTCCCCCTGCAATTTTAGAAATTTACTCATCTCAGTTCATGGTAGCCAGCACTATTTGGCACTAGTATGAGAATTTTAAGGCATGAATTAGCTGTGGTCTCTAGACAGTGAGACATCAATATGTGCTTTATTACAGGGAGAATTATACCCACCAGCCTTCAACAGATTTTTTAACCTTTCTCTTTCATTGTCACTTTTTCTCAGGCCCATGAGGAAACATTAAAACAATGGTTTTTGTTACATTGTGATCTGAATAAAACAGTGACTTTTTTTTTTCTAAATCAGTTAAAGGCAAAATTTATTAAACAATTTCTTAAGGGAAAGGACCTAATTTAGGTAATAAAGCATCACTTGAAAAGTAAATGCCAATAAACTCAATAATATTTATTATATATAAGTTTTTATAACCACTTAATGTAAAAATGAATAGTATTAGAATACTAATCTCTTGCCCTTTTGTTTTAGTTTTTTGGGGAGTTGTTGAGTCAAATTGGCTCTGACTCATGCGCATAACAGAAGGAAGCATTGACCGATGCTGTGCCATATTTGGTATGTTTGAGTCCACTGTTGCGGCTGGTGTGTCAATCCATCTCATTGAGGGTTTCCTTTGTTTTTATTGGCCTTCTTTAAAGCAGAAGTACTTTACTTAACATGATGCCCTTGTCTACCAATTGGTCTTTCCTGATAATGTGTCCAAAGTAAGCAAGCCAAAGTCTCACCATCCTCTCTCAAGGAACGTTCTCGTTGTATGAGTATTTGCTAAGACTGACTTGTCCATTCATCACAGTCAAGTCAACATGCTTCCCCAACGCCATGGTTCCAGTGCATCAATTCTTTCTCTGTCATCCTTTCTGTTGTCCAACTTTTTGCATGCATATGAGATGATGAAGAAAAAAGAGTGGTCTGTGCCTTAATCATTAAAGTGACATCTTTGTTTTTAAAAATGGTTAAGTGGTCTTGACCACGTGTTAGCTTCTGAAATGGTTGAAAGTCAACCAATTCTTTTTGGTATATTCCTGCCATATATATATATTGCTTTCACCATCATTTAATTTTTCAATAATTCATTTTATTGTTATTGAGAGTATACCAGCAACAAATACATTAATTCAAGTTTCTGTATGGACAAGTGCAGTTCAGTGGCATTGAATACATTCTCACCCTCCTTTTTTTTTCCCAAAGCCATTTTATTGGGAGTTAATACAGATATTGTATCATTCCGTAGTTCAATCACATCAAGCAGTATTGTACAATTGCTATCATAATCAGTTTCAAACATTATTTCCTTCCTGAACGCCTTGACATCAGCTCCCTGTGACCCCCACCACTGTACACCCTCCAAAAACCCTTATTCTACATGCTGTCCCTATAGTTTCATCAATCCTGAGTTTCATATGCCGAAAAACAGGAAAGCACAAATTCAACACATAACACATCTGAGATAGACCCCAATAGGAACAAACAAACAAAATATAGAAAATGTGGAAAGCCAGATCAGGGCTAACGTGCATCAGAGGGGGAAGTCAACTGACAAGGTTTTAACCGTTCAAGCCGGGTTTATCCTTTTGATCTTCTATGGTCATCTTGCCAATGCTTTCTGTTCAGTAAACACATTCCTTCCATCCCTCCTCTATTACTCACCCTCCTTTTCTGAATTGTTTTTCCTTCATTAACATAAACTCACTGTCCCCTAAAATTCCTATCTAATCTTTTGAGTTGCAGTTATCAATTTGATTCCAGATAGATAGACCTTAACAGGCATAATGTCAGGGCAGACCCTCAAAAAACAAAACCATTACTGTCCAGTCATTTCTAACTCTCACGACCCTATAGTACGGAGTAGAATTGCCCCATAGTCTTTCCAAGGTTGTAATCCTTATGGAAGCAAACTACCACATCTTTCTTCCACAGAGGGACTGGTGGATTTGAACCACTGTCCTTTGATTAGCAGCTTAATCCTTAACCATTGTACATCCTGGGCCCCTACATTCTTTACTAGTTAAATTAATCTATTGTTTGGTCTTAAGAAGACTTCCAGGGCATATTTTTGGTTTAAGATTTATAGATAATCTTTGGACAATAGTTTCAGGAGTTTCTTCTAGTCTCCATGGTTCCAGAAAGTCTAGATTCCAGAGAAATTTGTCATTCCATTTTTTTTCACCCATAATACCCTTTAGTGTTTTAGTCCTTAGCTACATATTTTGGATCATGTCAGAGTAGCAAAAATACAAGTAATTTCTGATTTATTTGGGGAACACTGGAAGAGAGTTCACACTTAATTGAGTGCCTACAATTTATACAGCATTGTGCTTAATATTTAAATAAATTCTCTCTCTCAGAACTAGAAATGACTTTGAGAAATGACTGTATTATACCCAGTTCAGTAAGAAAGACATTGAACTTCAGAAAGATTGTGACTACGGTAATAAAACTAGGACCCGAGGGAATCAGAATTTGAACTTAGAACTATATGGCCCTAAGGTCCCTTTTTATTTTAATTTTATTTTTCCCAATAGTTTTATTGGCACATAATTTACATATCACACAATTGAATAGTTCAATCGTTCAGTCATATCAAGGGGAATTGTACAATCAGCACCACATCTATCTTAGACCATTACCCCCACCATGGTTAACTCACCTTTAAAATTATGGTGCAATCACCATCAGTTCTAGTGCTCCCTCACCCGTCCAGCCTTTATTATTTACTCGAGAAATCCCCTGTCCCTCCCTATCACCCATCCCCCACCCTTGTATTCCCTATAACACCTGTATTAGTTGTTATCATTATACATCCACCGTCCTGTGCTTCACAGCTGGGAAACCCAACAGAAAACAATGAAAAACAAATCACACTGAAGTGGTAAGGATTAGATCATATTAGTATAATGACAAAAATACAAATAATGTGTGAGAGAGAAGACCCCCCATCACCAGTCAAAAAGCCAGGGAAGAAATTTCTGTCATGGAACCAGTAAAAAAATAGTTGTACCCAG